TGCCAGGTTCTTTGATGCGAAGATCCTTATGCCGTGTGTTTAGTTAGTGTATTTAGTAATGGGACGTCCTAGGGTGGCGGCTGTATGTGGGCGCGCTCTGGAGGAAAAGAATGAACATCGTCTGAAACGCCGGCGTCTTGCGTATATGGAACGACATTCCACCGGTCAAGGTGCCTCAACTTCTGTGTCCATCCCTCGTTCGCACGTTGGTGCTACTGCAAGCTCTTCAGGTGTGTGAATGTTTGTACCCTGATTTATACGTCTCTTTGACAACATCCGTTTGAGATTCAATCTAATATATTTTCCCCCCATCTTCTTTCTGCAATGCCCCCTTATCATGAACGTAACAACTACCAAACATGTGTGTCCCTGTATTTGTTTCTGTTTGTTTATACCGTTGAAACAATTTACCCTTATTTCCGTTGCCTATATTCTACGTGCCTTGAAACTATTCTCTCAATCAATGGTCAAAAATAACTACTGCTGTTGGTCATTTTCCCCCCCATCATTTTTTTCCCGGTGATTTTCCAAACGTTGCCATTGTGTTTTGCCCGACGTGGTGCCTTATGTATTGCGTTTACTGCATATCACCGTGCACACATATCGACTGATGATCTATCTGGCTCCTGTCAATTTGCGTTTGCTCGTCTTTGTGTTGGGGAACACGCCAATGCAATGCATTTGTGTGGTGACCTTTTATGGCATACTCAAATTACTTATTATAGCAGCACCGACGCCAGTTCATCAGTCTGGTCATGGGGGGGCCACCACGTCGTCAAATGTTGCCGACTCCTATAGGCTTGCAAAAATTCCCGATTGCATGTTTTGTGGTGCCGAGCGGCTACAATATGAAACTGCAAGTATGTGTTGTAGCAAAGGTGAAGTAGTACTCACCTCATCTGAAATGCCGGAACGCCTTGTTCAACTGTTTACCTCGCACGACCCTTTGTCAAAACACTTTAGATCTTGTGTGCGCACGTACAACAACACATTTGCTTTCACATCAATCGGGATCTACAACTACGATAAGAGTCTTTGTCGCCGGAACCAGGGTGTGTACACATTCAGAGTTCAAGGTCAAATATACCATTTTATAAATGACCTACTTCCTGATGGATGCCCACCACGAAACTTACAGTTGTATTTCTATGACACGGATCATGCGCTTGCCAGTCGGATGGAATCTACTGACCGGCTGGATAGCGATATTGTTCGGATACTGATGGAGGTGATGTGTGCGAACCCGTATGCGCAGTTCTTCAAAACGCTCACCGAAATTGATCAAACAGGTGAATTTTCCATTGTCCTCAACAGCAATCCTCAGCTTGATCAGCGTGTTTATAACCGCCCCACCGCTTCTCAGGTTGCTGCCGTTTGGGTGGAGGATGGTTTTGAAGGTGTAACTTCAAGCAGAAACATCCGTGTGTACGCACACAGCGGCAGTTCTCAAAACATCCATTACTACTATGGTTGTTATGATCCTTTACAATATCCGCTATTGTTCCCACATGGGGAAGTGGGCTGGCACGAGGGAATTCCCAAAAACACAATTCAGCCGCTACGTAATGGTCCCGTGCCTACAAGCTCAATTTCTGTTGATTGCACTGACTTTAGAACACATGAATCACTAATATCCGCAGAACAACAAGTACTTGCTACTGGAAAGAAAAAACATTCAGTTTCTTGCAGGCAGTATTATGCGTACAAGTTACAATTGCGTCACACCGATAACTCATTTGTGACACACACTGGACGGCTATTTCAGCAATATATGGTTGACTTGTATATTAAAATTGAAACACAACGGCTTGATTATTATCGAAGCAAACAACATGAATATCGGGGTGAAACATATCAGGGTTTAGTTGACAGTGTTGACACAGGCATCGACAACACAAATGCTGTAGGCCGGCGCATCATGCTTCCAGGCTCCTTCATCGGTGGGCCACGCGACATGCGCGGGCGTTACATGGATGCAATGGCACTGGTGCAAAATTATGGTAAACCAGATCTATTTATCACCATTACCTGCAACCCCAACTGGCCAGAAATCAAAGACCGCCTGGCGTACGCTGACGAAGCCCAGAATAGACCTGATCTCGTTGCTCGGGTGTTTCGGGCGCGTTTGCAAGAGTTTAAGAAAGACATTATTACCAAATCTATGTTTGGTAAGGTTGTTGCGTACACTTATGTTATTGAATTCCAAAAGAGGGGCCTCCCTCATGCTCATTTCTTACTCATTCTGTCGAGAGAATGGAAGATATCGACTGCTTCCCATTGTGACCGACTCATTACGGCTGAACTGCCAGACCCCTCTGCAAACCATGAAATGTACTTGCTTGTCAAAAAACATATGATGCATGGTCCTTGTGGACACTTGAATCCACAATGCCCTTGCATGACAATGGGACGTGGGTCGAGAGTATCAACATGCCGGAGCAAATACCAGCGCAGTTTTGCGCCTGTCACCCTGTTTGATGAAGACTGTTTTCCTTCATACAGGCGGCGTGAATCGGGAATTACAGCCACAGTCAGGAAACATTCTCTAGATAACCGCTGGGTAGTCCCTTATAACACCAACCTATTGCGAAAATATGATTGCCACATCAATGTTGAGGCATGCGCCAGTGTAAAGTCAGTAAAATATATATACAAATACGTGTACAAGGGCCACGATAGGATCAGTATGTCCTTGTCAGAAACACAGGTCCCTGAAGTGGTTGATGAAATTGCTGATTTCCAGAAAGCTCGGTGGGTGTCTGCTCCAGAGGCAGCATGGCGCATTTTCAGTTTTCCTATTTCAGAAATGCACCCTGCTGTTCTTCAGCTTCAAGTACACCTTGAAAATGCCCAATACCTTACATTTTATGGAAATCAACGCATAACATACATTACGGAGGCTCTTGATTCCATGAAAACAATGTTGACTCAATTCTTTGCCATGAACACATGCAATTCTGTTGCAAAATCTCTAAACCTTCTGTATGTTGAATTTCCTCACTATTTTGTCTGGAATAACCAACATAAAGAATGGACTCAACGAAAACGACAGGTAGTGATAGGCAGACTTGTTTCAGTGAATCCCCTTGAAGGGGAACGTTATTTTCTGCGCCTTTTGTTATCCAATGTACGTGCACCAACGTCATTTGCACACCTCCGTTGCATTGGCCATGATAATCTTCCATCGTATAGAGCTGCAGCTGAACGTCTTGGGCTTCTCTCGGGTGATTTTGTTATACGAGCGTCCTTAGACGAGGCGGTTTTGTTTCAATTGCCCTCCAGCCTTCGAAAACTGTTTGCTACCCATTTATGCTATTCAGATGTCCCAGATCCACGCGCACTATGGGTTGAATACAAAGCTCATTTGAGTGAAGATTTCGCCCGTTTTCAGTCAAGTTCAATAGCTGAAAAGGCAGCACTTATGGTATTACGGGATTTGTTTGCTGAAATGGGGAAGCAAATAGACTCATTCAATTTGGTAGATGATGACCTCCAAGAAACGTCCACAGAAGGGATCACACGCGAACTATCAGCAGAACTGAATATACCCGTCAGTGATACGGATCTCAATGGCATTGCTTCGTTGAATATTCAACAGCGAGCAGCGTTTGACACCATAATGGCGGCTGTATATGCTTGCAAAGGTGGTGTTTTTTTCGTTGATGGGCCTGGTGGGACAGGAAAAACTTTCTTGTACAGGTGTCTGCTTGCTACGACTCGAATAAACAAATGGATTGCACTTGCAACTGCAAGCTCAGGTATTGCGGCATCAATTCTTCCCGGAGGTCGTACTGCCCACTCGCGCTTTAAACTGCCACTTGACGGAGAATCAAAGTATATTTGCAATATAGGCAAACAATCATCTGAGGCGCGTCTGCTTAGAGAAGCTCGCCTTATTCTGTGGGACGAGGCATCCATGGCCAATCGCCTGCTTGTTGAAAGCCTCGACAACACACTTAGGGATCTGCTGGATGTTGACACTCTTTTTGGAGGGCGGTTGATGGTGTTTGGCGGTGATTTTAGGCAAACCCTTCCAGTAGTGCGTTCGGGCACAAGACACGACTTTGTGGATGCTTGTTTGCTCAGATCAAAGACAATATGGCCACATGTTCAGCGATTACGCTTGGTGGTTAATATGCGTGCCCATGAAGACCCTTCCTTTTGTGAGTATGTACTGCGAATAGGCAACGGGACTGAACCTTATATATCTTCAGGGAGAATACAAATCCCTTCCAATTTTCTGCTTCCCTGGATCACTGAAACGGAGTCACTAGATTTGCTATTTTCTGCTGTTTATCCAGATTTGAGATTGTTTGAAAGTGAACCTTATTCTCTGATATCACGTGCCATACTAACAACAAAGAATGAAATTGTTGATTTTATCAATACATCTCTCATGCATAAATTCCCTGGTGATGCTCAAACATTTCTAAGCTATGATATCCCTTTAGACCCAAAAAACACACATTGTGCAGATTATTTGCACACTTTGTCCCCCACTGGCTTACCTCCTCATAAATTGACCTTGAAGCACAATTGCCCAATCATGTTGTTGCGTAATCTCAATCCATGCGAAGGCTTATGCAACGGAACCCGTTTGATTTGTGATTCTTTTGGGGATCACATTCTAAGCTGTTTCATTGCAGCAGGCGACCACAAAGGCAAACATGTCTTCATTCCCAAAATACCGCTTGAAGTTTCCCGGGACGAAAATTGCCCAGTACCATTTAAGCGCACCCAATTCCCTGTAAAGGTTTGCTTTGCGATGACAATTAACAAATCACAAGGACAAACACTTGATTTTGTGGGCATATACTTAAAAGAACCTGTATTTTCACACGGCCAATTATATGTCGCAATGTCAAGAGCCTGCAACGCAGATTCAATTAAAATTGTTATTTGCCCCGATGTTCTTGATCCGAAACTGGCTAATACTACACCAAACATTGTCTTTGAAGAAATATTGGCATTTATTAACTAGGTTATTTTCCAATTTTTTTTCCATCATAACTTTGCATTCACTAACTCTTCATTCAAAAATTACATGAATTTTGTGGAGTTAACTGATATTTCTTAATGCTACAATCAACTAAAAGTAAGATGGAGGCTCAGCTGCCTATCGTGGCAATCATGCCTGCAACCCATCCATGGACGTGCCGTGTTACAGTTATGGAGAAGCAAAATGTGCGTACTGCCAAAACTTCTCCTATGAAATTCTTGCCAATGATCCTGATGGACACTGCTGTAAGTTTCTTATTTTTCCCCTCTTTTTCAGTAATGTGATTTTACAGTTATGCATTCTAACAGATTTATTGGCCTATTCTGTACAGGGAAACAAGGTACAGGCCACTGCCTTCCAAGGTGACATCGAAGGGATAGATCAGCGCCTTGTATTACACTCAACATACCTTATCTCGAATGCGTATGTAAAGCGAATTGCCAACATTCGCTTTTGTGTTGACGCGGAGTACCCCTACGTTTGGTCTTTCACCCGCCGCACCTTGATCCGAGATGTTGCTGCCCAGGAAGGAGAAGACTTCCGCCAGTTAGCTGAGGTAGATATCACTGCTTTTACTGATATGTACGCTGCTTACATACGTCATGACCGTATCAGTAAGCATCTCTGCTTTGAGTATATATCTGCAATATTTTGTATGTTCAGTTATAATATATGGCTTCATGAAACACCATTATACAAACACTATATTATGGTTCTATTCTATATGCTCTTTCATTTTGCTATTTATATGACGGATTATTGTTGCATTATAAAATGCAGAGGTTTTGGCTGCAATAGTGAAAAAAATGCCTCGCACCTTTGTGTTCACAAACAATGTTCAGAAACCAGCATGGGATGTGATTCTCGTTGATGAACAGTACGCATTAACTTTACTTATTTACCTTCCATTTAATAGAATATTGGCACTGTACTTACTCCGTATTTGCATTTTATTTGAATAGGTGCATCCCAATCCCATTCACAATGTGGGAGGAATTCATCACTCGCCATGGTTGTGAGATTGATAAGTGTTTGGAAGCTGGAGATTTTCCCCTTATTCTCATAAACAGGGCTGGTATCAACATTTTCCAAGGTCACATCATGTTTTTTCCTGTCAGCGTTGCTAAATTTACTATTCTTGTTGGGTGTTAATGGCACCCACTCTATTTCTTACATTGTTTGTAGAAACTAAATATTTTTTACTCAGGGTTGACGCTTTCAACTCGTTTTGACTGTCATGTTGAACTCCATCCACAAGGGGAACGCTCTTTCCGCTTGAAAAACTGGTGCTTATGCGTTAGCTTATCTGCACATTTGTTTGCGTACCTTACGCTTATACTTAAGAACCATCTCATTAAAAAATTATTTATTTTGCCAGGGTTGATGATAACAAAGACCAAATCAATGAGGTCCTCTTGTCAAGGAAATATGACAGTGCCCTCACACTGATTGCAAGACCTCTTTCACAGCATTTAACTGCCCTTGCAGATTTGGAAAATACCTTTTCCGAGGTATAGCTAACTAAAAAATGAACACCATATTGGCTTTCTGTTGTGTTCAGTTACCTCTCTCATCATAGTACTGTTTAATGCTCACCTTACACAGACCTCTATTGCATGGATTTCTGGCAAATTCCACATCTCAGATACTTCTGAAGAGGGTTCCTACATCGGGTGTGACTACTGCAATAGCAAAGTTCACAGCATAGCGGGTGTAACATTTCAGTGTTTATTCTGTGGACAGAAAAATGGCACAACTGTTAAGAGGTACATTCATGTTTTTTTATTTTCCACACTTCTGTGTGTTTTGTTTACTTACAAAATACAAATTGGGGTACATACAGGTTCAGACTCAATGCTTCCCTTGACGATGGAACAAGCCTTATAGCTGTCACTCTTTTCACGTCTGATGTCCTGCAATTGTTTAAATTTGTCAATATAGATCCAACAGATAACATAGACTTGGAAATGTTTGCTGCAAAGATTCGCAATGTAACCATTGTGTCTGGGGTCAAGCGGGCCAGATCTCATGACGATGGACTACTAGGAAATCTATACACCATCGCATGTGTAACATTTGTGGAAGACAACCCGCCTGAGTCTCCAATTGATAGCCCTCCTCCACCTGCAACTGAAACTGCCCCATCAACCTCACCTAAAAAAACACTGCCCTTTGAGTCCCTTGGCCAGTTGCCTTCCACACCACCATCCTCGTCAACCAAACATGTGCTTCCCATTGACACTGCTTCAGAAGAAACAAATGCACAGCTGCGTCTCAAAAAACGAAGGCCTACCAACACTTGATGTACTTGTGGTGCATTTTTTTTGCAGACTTCAGGGGTGGACAGTGCATTGGTTGGTTTAATCCTATTTGTGTTACAATACATCTGCATTTGTGCCAGCCCCCTTTTTGCCTAAACTTACATTGTATAATTTCCATGCAGGTGATACTGCCACTTAACTTACTGTTTAATTATGCATATGTGTGCATCTCTTCCTCTCCTCTTTGTACCATCTGTTTTTGCCCATCCGCTGCTGCAATGCAGAACTTTATGTAAATTTTAACTGCAACTACCCTCCCTGTTGTGGGATTGTAAATACGCCTTTCTGTACATTTATGTCGCATGTGTGTGCCCGTTTCTTTTTTCCTTTTCATGTTTTATGCACTTTTGTATTCATGGGTTACTCCTTGTTTCACCTACATCGCTTGAACCAGGTATACGTTATATTGTTTTTCTATATACTAACCTTTTGTTGCGCTTATGAATTTATTTTACACTGACCTGTCATCACATTTATCTATCCACATTTTACTTGCATTTGCATACAAAAATGTCATTTTTATTTTGTCGAGTACGCTGTTTTTTATTTTACATTTGCAGATTTTAACAACATTATTACCGCTGTATTAGACATTTAAGATGTTATAATCAAAATTGATTTTCATCACATTTTGCTATTCCTAATAACACATTAAAATAAAAGTAATTTTTCCAAAACTATTTCCCATCTTCCTCTGTTTGACATTCCAAACATAGCCAAGGACTGTACATTCCAAGATTTCTTCACACTGATTATATGGTGACTACATTTTTTACCCCTAACTTAACACTAATTATATGCTGCAGCCTGCATTAAATTTATTTTTTTAATTCTTTCCTTTGTAGTTGCACTTTTTTTGCTTTGTTTCTTCCTTGCTTGCAGGTCATGGCCAAACACCAACAATCACCTGTACGTGCCTATTAATACAATACAAATTTGTAAAGTGTGTATGTCCTTATTGTGTTAACTTTCTCACTATTAAAACGTGGGCACACGAAATGGTCTTATTGTTAATCCATTATGTATAGGTGGATTTATAAATGAACATGTTGAAATCAAGGAGACCTCATACCTTTTTACATTGATGGGGACAAACAGATTTAGGTATATATCCAAGTTTAACTCTTCTTGATCTTATTCTTTATTAACGTATATGCATCATCTGCGTTTTTTGCGTCTTAAACTTTTTTCGTTCCTTATTCACTAGCAACCACAAAGTCTTTAACAAAACAGGAATTTTAATGTTGAAAATATTAAAATGTATACAATCGAATTAAACTTATCACATGTATTTAAAAATGTGTGGTTTGTTTAGACTCTATAAAGTCACATGTTACCTCAACAAACATGGGTGAGGAGACCTGCGAGACTACTGCTGATTGGAAACAGTTCTTGCAACTTTCAGGATACTGGAAGCTCCTACCAAAACACTTCAGAAACAAAGATGAACTCAAGCATAAGATTGACCATTTCATGCATAGAGGCACCTTGATTCCTCCAATTACAGGTAATTTACCTACCCTCTCCCCCCCCCCCCTCCTACCCACCTAACAATCTGGGGTTATTAATATTATCACCATGCTCTGTTCCCTGTTTTTTCCAAATTCCAGTGTTAGTCTGTTTTCCTAATGCCTGCTCTTTTATTTCTTATTGTTTCGTCACAGTCTATCCAAAAACGGAGAACCTTCATTTTCCAGACGTGGTTCAGTTCAATATTGTTTGGTTTCAGCTTAACATCCCCGCCGTTTATCTTGCTGTGTGTTCATTGCCTCACATCTACTTATGCCCTATTTTCCCCCCTATAACTGTTCACAGTAATCATTTTTTTTAACCCCCCATCATTGTCCAGAAAATCCCTCCCTGCATGCCCAGGCATCTATTCGAACATATGTGCCCCTCTGCTCGCCTTGTGTATGGAACAACCTCATGGGATGTCCAATTTAACGCTGTCACTTTCACTGATGACTTTGCTGACCTGTTTATCACTAATGATATTGACTTTGGCTCATTTGCTCTTCTAAGTCATGTGGGAAACTTCACTTTTGAAGTATTCATGTTTGGCAAACTAGGTTTTTCTCTGAACTTGGCTGGCAAGCCCTTTGGTGTTTCAAATACGTTGCATACCCCAGGTACATTACTATACAATTGGCCTATCATGCCATACACCTAATTCACCCCCCCCCCCCCCCCCCCCCACTTTGTTCTTCTATTGGTTCCATTTATCATTAACATAGTATAGCATGTTGTTCCTGCTCTCTTACACAACTTCATAATATCCACTTTTGTTGCTTACAGATGATTTCCGTGTGTATGTGGAGTCTTCTTTCAAAGAACATTCATACAACTACCTCTATTGTCAACCATCCTTTCTGTTTGTGCCCAAGAAAACAAGCAAGGTCTGAGCCTTGGTACATTCATTGATATTACATATCTCTTTCTTTATGCTTCTTTATTCCCTTTATTAAACATTCCACTCCATTTATTTAATGGGCAATCATAATAGCATGATTAACAAGTTGAATACTTATGTTGATGGCTGCCACATCAGCCTCTGATTCCCCTTTCATACCATTTCTTTATTTTGCACTCTTATTTTCAGTTTGTGTTTGGGAAAAAAACTGTTTCCAACTTCTCACAGCTTCACTACTGTAATTGTTATTATTTTGTATCTCAATGCAGGTATGCTGTGAAGCATTCCTTCGGGCATGCACCAATATGAGGAACCGTGTGAGCATTTTATATGGCAACAATGACACTTACTTTGTCGTTGGACAACAATCATTGCGTCACCAGATTCTAACATCTTTCGCGTTAAAGCGCCATCACACTCTCTTTTTCCTTAGGCATGGCAGCGGTGAGGCGCTGCTGCTTGTAATTTCTTCATACGGAGTTGAAAAATTGCCAAACCATCCACATGTCTATGCCATACGGATCACTGCCCGCACTGAATTTGCTCAGATCCCTTGACTTCAAATCAACACATTCCATTGCCATCCTTTTACTATGACACTTAATGACCTTGCACCTATACTTTTGCAGCTGGTTTTTTTTTTGTTTACCTTTTGGCAGTAGCAATGTAATTGTACTTTAATCTCCAAACATTTTCTGTCTTTACCGGAAACTGTCCTGGCCCAAATACATCATTCTGTGTGGTTTTTTTGTGGTTTTATTTAAGGGCCAGTACTGTAATTGCCTTTTGGCTTATTTGTAACACTAAACTCCTTTTGGCTTATTTACGCACCTTTTACCCGTTTGTTGTGAACGCCTTTCCTCCGTTGGGCACTGACCTCGCGCATCGCGCGTACCGTCGCGAGTATACATAATATAAAACCTATTTTTATAGGTTATAGGGAGTACATAATAGCTCTATTTGAATGAGGTCCAGGAACGAGGACAAAAAAGTTGTGGCATAGTCTTATGACAAAGCATACTCAAAGTGGTGTAGATTGAGTCAACTTTACTTGAAGTTACTTAATTACCATATCTCCGGATGATATTTGGACACAAATTTGATCATCTCCCTTCAAAAATACTTACAACTATACAAGTCATATTCCAATGCTCAATTTTGGAATTGCACTAAAGATTGACAAGGGAATAAGAAAACTTATCTGTATATAATCTTGCTAAGTATAAATATATAGTCCATTCATACATATGGACGGGGAGGATGGTAAGAAAATGAAAGGAAGAAACATACTCCATATCATCTTCTTCTTCCGGGAAGCACCTCTTTGTCACTGAGTTCGTCATCATCATCAAGGCCAGAAAACTCCATCCTAGCAGACGCCTGTTTCGCCCATTTCACTATCTTCTCCGCCTCCCTGCTAATCTCCTCCTCTTCCCTCAACGCCCTTTTCAGCATTTCTTCATGTTTCTTCTGGGAGAAGCTGCTCAAATCCGACAGCACACCTCTGTTTTCTTTCCCCACCTTCTTCTTCTTCCTAATTTTGTTTGGGGAACACCACAAGCAGCCAGCTTTTGCCGGCGGCGATGGGGAATCCGTTGAAACATCGTCCGGATCCTCGAAATACGAACCCGCCCCGAGTTTAACACCCGATTCCTCCAATATCCGCGTAGGTGAAAGTAAATCTGGGCTCGGATTCTCCTTTGGACCCTTCCTCTTCCCGGTTCGCTCTTCCTTCTCCCGATTATCCACCGGCTGAGAAACAGCGAAGCTTTCTGGAGTGGGATTTGGGGGTTTAGGGTTTGTGGAAGGGAGAGATTTGAGCTTCCGGAAGCGGGATTCGAGGTGAGACGGGAGGGGCGAGTCTGAGAATCCGGAGCAGTTTATGGCGGCGACCTGCTCGAGAACAGAGTGATCCATCGCCTGAGATAGAAGCTCATCGACTGCTGCCCTGTCATCGTCGCTGTCTGAAAGGAAGGATAAATCGGCCATGGAGGAGGAATTGGGAGGTTCTTCACCACCCACTCTTCTGAGTTCTGACCAGATTTACAGAGTGGAAGGAAGTGAAGGAGGCGAATTGGTCATAGTAGGGAGGTGGAAGCTAACGGCTAACTCATGAATATGCCCGTTTTGTATGCCCGTTTTATGCTCTGTTTTTTCCCATTACTGCCAAAAAGTGAGGCTCCTTTGATGGACTAACCCTTTGCTAATCGGCCCACTCCGTCAGCCTACTAATTAGGCTCCAAAGTTTTTCTTTTTCAAACTCTCCATCTATGAAGCACGGATACTTCCTTGGGTAGCGTATCGGCGTATCGGATACGTTGCCGTATCCAGTACTCTAGGATACCCGTACCGTACGTTCCCGGGCCGTATCTGCAATTTTTAAAAGTTTCCATTTTTTTTGTAATTTTTTGAAAGTTTCCGATACTCGTATCCTGATGGATACACGTATCTTTTTTTTAAAGAAACCCGAAATTTACTTAATAAAATTCTAAAAAAATGAAAATCTGAAACTACATTTTATTTACTTAATACTCTGAATTGGGTACTTGCACTTTTAATTCCAATGTAATTGTTTGACTTATTAATCATTGTAAATTAATGACTTATTGACTATATTTATATTTCGAAATGCACTAGTGTATATGAGAAATGTTATGAATTTATTACTAAGTATCTTGAAAAGAAAAAATGCTTCAATGCAATGAAGGGATAGACGTCATAGAATATTATACGGAGTATGTATTTGTTTTCAAAAAAACTATTTTTAATATTTATAAATACACCCCTATAACTTTTAATATTTGTAAATACACCCCCATAACTTTTAATATTTATAAATATGGCTCCGTATCCGTATCCTACTTTTTTTTTTGTTTTGACGTACTCTCATACCCGTTTCCGCGTTTCCGCGTACCGGTATCATTGCTACATAGCTCTCCATCCCTTGGTTCGTTATACTGTGGTACACGCGGATGAAAAGAATTTTCTTTTGTACGTTTGGGTAGCAAGGAAATGCAAGTCGTGTTTAAAGAAATGTACTACCTCTGTTCCACTATGCTTGGGGAAAAGGGGTGTGTTACAATTTTTAAGAAAAAGTGGAATTATGTAGTTGGTATTAAAATGATAAAGTGAATAAAGTAAGAATGAATTGTAACCACCCAAACATTACCAAATATGATATGAGACAAACATAATGGAACGGACGAAAAAAGTAAAACAGGACAAAGTTAGGGGGATGGAGGGAGTAGTTCGATAGAAATTATAATTACATGAGTTAAAATGTAAATTGCCTAGAATGTAATATAAGGAAAAAAAAACTTTAACTTCAATGTAAGCAATGAAAAATTGAATCTAATGGCTCAATTACTTTTTGTAAATAATGAATACGTTTTATTTTTAATATTAGAGCTATAAAAATGATACCACAACAACCACATTCAAGCCCTAATCCCAAAAAAATTTGGGATCTGCAAACATGAATCGATTGATGATAACAGTGCTTAAAGGAGAAGATGTACTGTAACTTGCGTAAATTAAAATGTAAGTCTATACATAAACAGATGTAACTTGCGCATGAGAATACGTAACTTCATATAATATCAAATGTAAACAATGAAAATAAGAAGCTTAGTGTTCAATTAATTTATGTAAATACTGAATATGTCTTGTTTTATATATAAAGGCCATAAAAAAAATTAAAGAAAGATAAATTTTTTTTCAATTCCGGTGTCGAAAATTCATTTTTCGCAAAAAAAAAAAGATTATTTTTGTTTCAATAGCATGAATTTATTTTGCTTACGGAAGCGGGATTCGAGATGAGATGGGAAGGGCGAGTCGGTGAATCCGGAGCAGTTTATGGCGGCGACCTGCTCGAGAACAGAGTGATCCATCGCCTGAGATAGAAGCTCATCGACTGCTGCTCTGTCATCGTCGCTGTCTGAAAGGAAGGAAAAATCGGCCATGGAGGAGGAATTGGGAGGTTCTTCACCACCCACTCTTCTGAGTTCTGACCAGATTTACAGAGTGGAAGGAAGCAGCGGCGGACACAGGTAGGGGCAAATAGGGGCCGCCGCCCCTCCAAATAATATATTTTCTAGGTATATTTACCCCGAAAATTTAATATATATATATATATATATATATATATATATATATATATATATATATATATATATATATATATATATATCTGTGTGTGTGTGTGTGTGTGTATTTTTTACATTGTTGTCCCGCCAATCGAAAATTCTTGCGTCCGCCGCGGGAAGGAAGTGGACTAGTGGAGGAGGCGGATTGGTCATATTAGGGAGGTGGAAGCTAACGGCTAACTCACGATTGTCATGAATTTGGCCGTTTTATGCTCTTTTTTTCCATTACGGCCTAAAAGTGAGGCTGCTTTGATGGTCTAAAGCTTTGCTAATCGGCCCACTATGTCGGCCTACTAATTAGGCTCTCCACATTTCTCCACTTTGGAGAAATGTAACTCAGGTTTAAAGAAATTTCTTTAAACCAACGTTGATAAAAAAAATATAAATTGAGTCAAGTTGAAGTTTAAGTTGCCTAGAACATAATACGGAGTATAAGAAAAAAACTTTAACATAAATGTAAACAATGAAAAATTAATTCTAATGGCTCAATTACTTTTGTAAATACTCCCTCCGTCCCGTTGGAATGTTCCCGGTTTGACCTACACACATATTAAGGAAATAAACTTACCAGGGGGTAAATTTTACTGTTTGGACACTGTTTGGACACTGTTTGGCACTGTTTTGCACTGTTTGACACTGTTTTGGTGTAGGATAACTTTCCATTTAGGGAAATGAGAACTTTCCATTGGGACATCCAAAAAAGGAAAGTGGGAACATTCCAACGGGACGGAGGGAGTAATGAATACGTTTTATTTTTAATATTAGAGCTATAAAAATGATAGCACAACAACAACATTCAAGCCCTAATTCTAAATGAATTTGGAATCGGCTAATACGAATCGATCAATGATAACGGTGCTAAAAGGAGAAGATGTATTGTAACTCGCGTAAATTTAAATGTAAGTCATACATAAACAGATGTAACTTTATATAATATCAAATGTAAACAATGAAAAAAAGAAGTTTAATTGCTCGATTGATTTATGTAAATAGTGAATAATTGAATATGTATTGTTTTTTATATAAAGGCCATAAGAATGTTTTAAAGAAAAATCATTGTTTTTCAATTTTGTTGCCGAAAATTCGTTTTTGCAAAAAAAAAAAACAAAGTTATTTTTGTTTCAATAGCATGGATTTATTTTGCGGTGTAACTTGCATGTGTTATGAAAATGTAACTTGCGTTGATGAAAAATCTAACTTAGGAGTATGCAAAATGGAATTTGTTGAGGAAAATATAAATGTAACTTGTTGAAACAAATCCAAATGTACTTGCACATACGAAGATTTAATTCACGCATAAAAATTTAACCCACCCATAAGAAGATGTAACTCCATATACTGTAAAGGAGTGAGGGGGGCTATTGGAGTGTTGGCTATACAGAGTGTACACTATAGAATGGAGAATTGATTTATTGATTGATGATGTTGTGATGGTTGATTTTATGAATTTAATATAATCTTTTGGGAAATTCTAAACACAGCCCACTATTTACTAAATACAGCCTTTAATTAAATTAAATGTCTATTATATCCCTATTATTATTATCACAGTACTCTCTTTGTGATTGCCGATCTAAAAGAAGAGACTTCAAACGCCGGTAGTCCAGCACCATCCAAGAACGCCGGCTAGAGATACAACCACCTTGGTGACCCGATCTTGCTTCCTATTGCAAATAACTTCTCGAATTTTTTATCTTATCTATAAAGACACGATGGTTTCCGTCTCATACAGCTACTAAAATCTGTTTGTTCATATTTGTTGTTGCCGTTTCAGATTATTTATATTTCTCAATAATAATCCTCAAACGCCAGTATTCCAGCACTTCGTGACCCGATCTTGCTTCCTATTGCGGATAACTTCTCCAAAATTTGATCTTATCTATAAAGACACAATCAAAATTATATTCTTCGTACGTTTATTCTGAGTCTTTCTTGCATCTCATATTTTTCATGATTCTATTTTTTCTCTTTTCCATTCTATCATCACTTCGTTTTTCTTTAGTGATATGTATATGTATATATTTAAACCACATAGGGAGTTTATTATTGGGGAATTCGATCGACTGTGATCACAGAGTAAGGGGCAATAATAGGGATATAGTAGGTATTTAATTTAGTTAGTGGTTGTATTTAGTAAAAAGTGGGCTGTGTTTAGAATTACCCTAATCTTTTTCCTTTTCGAAAAATGGTCTCAAACCCCCAGCCCACATACTCACCACTCTGGAGTGCGGCCCACAGGACACCAGAGTCCAATAAAGCGATCAGCCATCATCCCATTGGGCCTTCGTGCAGCCGAGGGCCACAAAGCATGCGGAACGGACCGAATAAAACTGACCCGGAAAGACAATGCTATGACTTTACAGTTTACAGTATGAAAATGTGCAAGTTATCTAAGAGCATCTTCAACCCCACACTTTTGACATTAAAAAAATCCTTGCCACATCAGAAAGTTACAAGGTGTTCGATTTTTTTGCCGTGCAATGGACTCTTTCATCAATTAACATTGTGCTGAGGTGTAAGAAATAACCGTAACAATGTTAAACCTACTTTATCAAATTGCAAAGCCAATTACACTGGCCGAGTCAGCAACTGAGGCTCTTCGTGGGTAAAATACTGGTGGATTTTTTATTTGCAGTTGATGACTTTTTCTTTTGCAATTACTTTCATTTGTTTTTAATTAAAAAAACGACACACGTACTTGAAACAATCCTATGCATTGTGTACCACTTCCGAAGTTTACTTTCTCAAGTTTTGACATCAATCCTATGTGGTATAACATTTCATACAATTACTGACATGTGTCACAATTTTTTTAATGTCCAAAGCCTAGCATTGGAGATGCTCTAAAAACGCATAAAGCGTGGCTGCTTGAAATACGCCAAAAAATGTGTCAGAAACAACTCATATACATCCATATATTAACTCATTTCCCATTTTAAGGTTCTTTCCAACTATAATGTTGTATATCTGTCTTATTTTACAAGTATAGTCTAGATTCATTTTCTTCCATCCTACTCCCTAATGTGAACCACATTAGCGTTTTACTTTTCCGCTTAATCGACTATTTCACTTTTTGTAGTGTATTATATTTATTTATCATAAAAAGTAGTGCATTTTATTTTATATTTGGGTTTTAAGAAGGAAATTACATCGGACATAATGTTTCTCTCTTTAGTAGATTTTGTTTGAAAGGTTTAGTAGATTTATTTGTTTCTCAAAAAACCTTGAGGTACAAAATAATAAGTGGAAAAGATGAAAACAAGCATTTTTTTGGCAAAATAAGAAAACACATCATTATTCAATAAATGGTTAATCCATCGTCCTACTTTATAGAATCAGGAATAACATATCTTGCCAAGTTAACACACAGGCAACACGGTTGGCAGACCGTCTACAAAAACGCATACTAAACCAAAACACATGTATACATTATTCAATATGGTCATATTTGCGAAATAAAACAAAAAAGTAGAACGATTTTTTCAAAAATACTTGTGTTTAAGTGTCATTTGATAACACATAAATTGTAACTGAATATGCTCAAATTGATTAAATTCTGATTGAAAAGACTTAATTGGCTGAATCAATTGAATTATAAAAAATTACATTTAAAATATAGAAAAAATTATATGTAGAATAGTTAAAATGGTTTATCACGATAGTTTCACTTAATTCGATCAGACTGGAAAGGAGTTGCATCATTATTCATATCAATTATAAGATTAGAGTTCTAAACTAAGGTAATGTAATATTGCACGCATTAGAGACGTGTAAATGTGTAATGAATTAGCTGTACAGTACTCACTTTGTTTTCGTGTCGTCTTTGGTGTAGTAATTAATAACAAAATTTTGAAAATCATTTCAATTTCGCATGTGAGTAATTGAGTATATATATGTGTGTATAATAGTACGATCGAGATGTTCTAAGTGATTTAATTTATATATTAATTCTTCAATTCCTCAATGGACATAAACTCTTCTCCACCACGAATGCCAAGGTGTTGTGTTTGGCACAGATTAAAGAGCAAAAATGGTGACAAGAGGAAAAGGAACAACAACCACGATTCGGTATTAGTGGGTTACTATGGCGATTGGGGAATGGTTGCCGCCTCCGCCGCCGTGAAGGAGACAGGGAAAGCTGCTGGCCGGGTGCTATATTCCAACAACTCTCCTTCAAATACTTGACCAACACTGGTTAACTAAATACGTTGTAGTTTCAATTCCTAAATTTTATTACGTATTATATCATTATTATTATCATTATACGAAGTATATAAAAATGTTCTAATGTTACTTGTTTGGTATCTTGGGTTTTGATGCCTATTGACTATTGGTTATGGATTGATTGATTTATTGATTACTTGATTTTAGTTGACTACATAGCTATATTGACTGACACTTCTATTCTTGAAACTTATTTTACTTGATAAGTTTATTAGATATAATCTCGTCTTAATCAAAGATATTGGTAAAAATTTGGATGTGTTTAATAAATTCAATCATAAGGTTGTTCTTGATTATTGTAATGATGTTAAATCTGTTGTTAAATATGGTTTAGATAATATGACTCTTATTACATTGTTGTTAATGACTTAATAAGTTGTTAGGAACTTTTTCTAAAATATGCTAGAGTTGTAGTAATCAATCCAAAAATTCTAGACGATCTATGTTTGTGAATTGTGAGAGGACTAAAGGTAGATCAATACTCAGACACTCCGTACATCATAAACATCATAGCCATAGTATAACATGTAATCATTCCAATAATGAGAAAATGTACACTTCTAAGAAACGTGTTTATTACTATTATGATAGTCTTATCACTTTATAATAGATTAAAACATCTTATACAAATTAAAGTAGTTTTTTAGATTCAAAGGCTTTCATTTAAGCAAAATGAACTATTTGAGAACAAAGTATTCTCTTCATCCCAGACTTAAATCAATTTTCTTTTTATTATTTATCACAAAAAAAGTGGTAAAGTAAATAATTTTTGGTTTTATTTATTACTGCGGAATAACCAAAAACAAGAATGAGCATCACGTTTTATTTATTACATGCAACTTTCCTGATTTTTTATCAACCCTTGTGAACCATGAACAGCTAAAATTTCTTAGAATCACATTACGACCTTCAATTCATGTGAGATTATCCAAAAACAAATAGGCCCTAAAGGGATTACAAAAGTATATCAATGTAAATATGCATGTTCATCAATTAAAAAATGAGACCCTTAATCATTTACCATTAATTTTTGAATCCGAGGGCTAAAATAGTCAGGCATTCTCCTTGACTCCTTGTCTGCTTAACCAAGGATCTGACTCCGGTGAGCACCTCTTGAGAAGATTCTAACAGTGGCAAATCACCGTCCCCGGCCACCGCCGGAAGTAATAATGTGGATGTATCCTCCTTTTGATCTTCCGCCTCTTCTATATAATAACAACCGGAAGACCCGAAATCTGAAAACGCATTGCTGGCGCCGCCCACAAAAGCAGCCGCCACCGCCGGAATGCTGTCATGTTTGAAGTCTGGTACTGCCAAAACATAAAAGTAATTAGTCCTATTTTGGGAATAAAAACATGGAAGTCCTATTTTGGAATTTCCAAACTTTTTTAGTACCATTTTGGGTAATATATCATTAAAATATCTTATACAAAGTAGTTTTTAGATTCAAAAGCTTTCATTTAAGCAAAATAAACTATTTGAGAACAAAGTATTCTCTTCATCCTGTTAGACTTCAATTTTCTTTTTATTTATTTATCACAAAAAAATTGTTACTTTTATTTAAAGTAAATAATTTTAGGTTTTATTTAGGTAGATTCTATGGTACCCTTAAGGTACCATACCTTTGTCCACATGGACCAATAAGAATGATGCAGTTGGATTATTTAAATCTAAATTAAAAGGAATATAATGATTTGGACCAATCAAATGCATAGTAGGTACGGTACCCCCATTTTTTGAATGGGTACCGGAGTTGTCACCTTTTATTTATTACTGCGGAATAACCAAAAACAAGAATGAGCATCACGTTTTATTTAACCTGATTTTTTATCATCCCCCGTGAACCAAGCATGAACATCTAAAATTTCTTAGAATCACATTATGACCTTCAATTCATGTGAGATTATCCAAAAACAAATAGGCCCTAAAGGGATTACAAAAGTATATCAATGTAAATATGCATGCTCATCAATTAAAAAATGAGGCCCTTAATCATTTACCATTAATATTTGAATCCGAGGGCTAAAATAGTCAGGCATTCTCCTTGACTCCTTGTCTGCTTAACCAAGGATCTGACTCCGGTGAGCACCTCTTGAGAAAATTCTAACAGCAGAAAATCACCGTCCCCGGCCACCGCCGGAAGTAATAATGTGGATGTATCCTCCTTTTGATCTTCCGCCTCTTCTATATAATAACAACCGGAAGACCCGAAATCTGAAAATGCATTGCTGGCCGCCCACAAAAGCAGCCGCCACCGCCGGAATGCTTTTACACTCGTCCACCTGCAAATAAATAGAAGGCGGCAGTGGCAGCAATTCTCCTCCGCCCATGTACGGCATCGCCGCCATTGCGGCTCTACGGTCCATGTAGTACTGAGCTGCCGGCGGCGGCTGTTCGTACAAGTAGTTTACTGGCTGCGTCAGCTGTCTGTATCCAGCCGCCGCCGACGGCTGTTCGTACAAGTAGTTTACTGGCTGCGGCAGCTGTCTGTTTCCAGTCGCCGCATGCTGCAGATTTTCATCAATATAATATAACCCGCCACCGCCGTAATGCATGTGCGGCGGTTCGTTTGCCACCCTCGCCGCCGGAGTCCCATAGCAGTTGATCGGATTATCAAGAATCATGTTTGGGTTGTGGCAGTTGAAATTATTGGGATTAGTGTTATTTATACATATGTATATACATCACAAATAGTTTGAGGGGCCCGTGTCCACCCCTGCGGACATGTGTTTTCAATCCGTTAACCCGTGGGGCCTCCGTCAAAACTCTGTCAGAAAGAAGAATGTCACTTTTTATACATAGTACATCCACATCGACACATCGTCTTCCTTTGTCTTCCTTTTCACGGCTTTAAAACTGAAACCTTCAAATTGAAAGCTATGTCTCACTTTATAAAAAATGAATTTCATAACTCTGTTTGAAAATAGGCACATCAACCACGAGTATCTTTTTTGTATTTATCCCAATGAGAAATTATGAAGGTAAAACAATCTTTTTTAAAGAAATTAATGAAATACTAGAACAAGTACATATATAACTAACCCTCACCTTATTACTTCCTTCTGCTTTCTGATATGTAATGGGAGAGTTCCTTCTCAGTGATAGGTTGGTTGATCATAAGCTCCGAACAGTGTATGCCTTATAAAACTTGGGTACCAAAAGTTATCTAATAGAAGTACTTGGTAAATTTAATCGTAAGGTACATACGGTAGAAATTTCTTAATTACTGCCTCCGTCCCGAAAACAAATTCCCGGTTGGACTTTCACACACTTTTAGGAAATAAATTTGACTTTACTGTAGAGTGCACTGTTTAGCACTGTTTGACACTGTTTAAACACTATTTGGCACTGTTTAAACACTGTTTGGCACTGTTTATCACTTTTTAGATGTAGATAATTTGCCAAATAAGGAAAGTATTGAAGTGTGAAGTTAATTTTGGGACATCCATTTAAGGAAAGTGGGAAGTTGTTTTTGGGACGGAGGGAGTATATACTATCGTATATTATGTACAATGACATGGATATAACTTCAGGGGTTTGGTTGGATAAAAATATAACCCACTTAAGTTTGGACACAAAAGTGAGTCAAACACCCGTTTGCATCTTCCGCATCTCAGGTTTCTTCTTCCCTTCATGGTTTCTTCTTCCCTTCATGTGCTTCTGCCCGTTCTTCTTCGCCTGCTTCTTCTTTCTACCCAACCAACCATTGCCTCTTTCTTCTTCGCTGCCAACGTTCTTCCTCCGCCGCCTCCCTGCCGCTACTCTTCTCCTTCTCATTATCCATCGGCTGCAATTGAAACCAAATGCCCCCTCCTTCATTCGAGATCGATGGACGTGCCTCCACCGGAACCGTCGTCTTCGATGGCAAACGCCTTCGCCGGTGCCGGATCTGGCTTCGTCGGTAGATGATGACCTGTTTTTGGGGCCTCCGGTTCTGGATTTGCTAAATTCGGTGGAAACCACTCCGATTTGGATCAGCAAATGCCGGATACACCGTCCTCGATGTCGGAGAGGGCCTGAGGGATCGACATGGGGAGAGGCTAGAGACATGGAGTACTTTCATCGAAGAAAAGGAACAAAAAAATGCAGGCGTGGAAGAGTAGTTTTGAAGAAGCACCTGAACCCATTTACCCGGTCGGGTATGTGCAAAAATGAAAGTTTTGAGCTCACTGGAACAAAAATCCGATCGAGTGCCCCTATTACCCGATCGGGTACTTAAAAAAATTACCTGGGAGTTTCTCAACACGATCGGGTGGGTCAGGCAAAAAATTCACTCAACCCGGTCGGTTTGTCTTCGAACCCGATCGGGTTGTATTCAAATCCTGCCAAATTGGCTTCAAACCCTGTCGGGTTTGCCAACATTTTGAACCAAAAGCTCCAAAAACACTCATTTTCACCTCTTCTCATCTTTAATCTTTCAACCAACCACCAACTCCATCCTAATCACCCCAAACCTCATACACATATCTTTCTTTCTTCAAATCAAACCAAATCCTCCACCAAACCCCACACATTCAAAAAAACATCATAATCTTGTTCCCATCATCTTCATTTTACTCCACTTTCCTCTTACTTCACATACCCTCTCATCCATAAGTTCTTGGGAAACCTCACCTATCTCCCAAACCACAAGGAGGGAGAGGACTTTTCATCATATATACAGTATTTATTCTTCATTGTACTTTCAAAAAATAAATACAAAAACAAAAAAACATGTTAATAAAAGATTAAAAAAGAATAAAAAGAAGAAATGTCAGTTAGGTTGAAAAGCCGAACGGGCAACCTAAGCAACAAAGACAAAAACAAAAAAATGATGAGTGAGCCAGTGAGGAAAAAGAAAGAAAAAGAGAGGCTATGATGAAAATCCAAAAGCGGACTCCTAAGGCAAAATGAGAGAATTAGAGGAAAATAATTTATTTTTAATCCTGCGAGATCTGTTTCTACTCTACGCTGTAGGAATGCAGAAAAAAGCAAGGAATGAAGATATTTATTCACATTTCTATTTTGATACTCTTGAGTTATGGTTGTGTGAAACATTTGCTTGAGTTTTTTGCTTGTTAAGACATTCTGAAGCTGGATTTTGATTTTACTTGGGACGAGTAAAAGGCTGAGCATGGGAGAGTTAGATATGAACTATTTCCTAGTGCATAAGTTTGTTGTTTTAGTATTGTTTGATTGTTATTTTTAATTGTTTAGTTTAGTTTGAGATGTACTTTCTAGATTTATTTTGTAGGTTGTAATTTGTATTTTTAGTGTGTATTTTGTTGTGAGTACCATAAGGGATGCATGGGAGTATTATAGGTACCAAAGGAAGGCAAGATGAATCGTGGGAATAAATTGTGGCAGCAAACCCGGTCGGGTTGGAACGTAACCTGGTCGGGTTGGAAGTGAGATATGAAGCTAACAGGAAGCTACGTGCCGAAACCTGGTCGGGTTGAGTTGACAAAAACATAAGAACATGTCGAAGATCAAGAGAACGTGGAAAATATCCGATTTGATACGCAACCCGGTGGGGTTGGTACAAAACCCGGTCGGGTTGGATATGACTTCAACACCTCCCGAGCAGTTTAAGGATATTCTATATAGAATACCCGGTCGGGTAGTCTATATACCCGATCGGGTATCAGATCCAGCCACCTCAAATACCTATAAATACATTCCTTTTTCTTCTCATCTGATCACATATTCATATGCACTTCTAAGCTCAGTTTAGTTAAGTACTTTCTTTATATGTTTAGTCTCCAGATGAGGAGCTAAACTCTTCCATCATGGTTTTGCTACGTTGAAGCTTAATGAATTGTAAGTTATGAGTTATTTTCTTTAATCATCTTCCTTGAATATTAATTAATTCCTATCATGCATATTTCATATTAATATTTTGAGCATTACTTAAGGGATCAACTAGTTTTGTTTCATATATTAATTATTACTAGAATCGATAGACGAATACGATTGTTAATCGTTCGGTCCTTTCACGATAGTAAACTTGGATTATTAATGAATGTGTCTCATGGTTAATAATCTAAGTGGAATTAATTATATTGATTAAACCAATAAATCGCTTGTGTTGAGGTTATCAATCTCAATCGTTTTCATCTTAAGTTTTATTGCTAATATCAAGTCAATATACGGTGTGTGTTCTATATTGACTTGGTAGTAAGCTTTATTAATGAACACATCTCGTTATTAATAACTATCCTCAATGAATTGGATATACTCCTCGATTGAGTATTCGAGAGGAAGATAGTTAAAGATATAATCGGGATCGACGGACATTTCATTAAGTGGATATAAGAAAAACCAAGTCCACATCTCTAATTAATTAAACCACATAAGTCATTCATCTTAGTGTGTAAATATTCTTAAAGTTCAAACAACAATCCTAAACCCCCCTTTGTTACTAGTTATATAAAAGGGAAGTATTCCTTTCCCTGTGCATACGAATCTTACTATGCTATACTACAGACATGTACTGGGTATGAAAGTGTTTATGGCTGCATATCCTTGTGGTCGATTGCATCTAAGTGGGGGATTTTAAATACACAAGTGTGTTTTCTGGTAGTACACTGGTAGATGTATGTGGCATAATAGTGGGAATACATATCACAGTAGGTGGATATTTCAAACAAGTCTTAATCATTGAACATCTATTTTGAGTAATAATTGAGAATATCATGAAGAGTTATGGTTTGCCTACTGCTGGTCCTTCTGGAGGGGTTAATTCCAAAAATTCACACGAATACTTGGCTAGCATTGAAGAATTCAAGGAAAGCATGCCTACTTGGGCGCTAATTTGAGGAGGGTAGTGACCTTCACATCTCCGGCAATGATCTTTGTCACCCCGACAGTGACCTCCCCCTCCTCAACAGTGATAAAAGTAGTAGCTCAAAGCTATTAAGATCACGGATTTTGTCCTAAAAGGTTAATCTCACAGAGTAGTAGCCCAAAACTCTAAATGTTGGTTTGTATTTTTATAAGCAAACGGTGTGGGACAGAATAATACGCCTCCGCAAGATGGTGGCTCGTACGAGCAAACCAATCTTGTAGTTCATGTGCTCATTATTGAGGCTTGCCATGATCTTATTGCTTGTTCGAGCTTAATTTGCTCTGATACCATAATAAGTCTTGAATTCCATCCAAAACCCTGATAGGATGAGTAACTCATGCACTTATATGTTAGTTTGTATGTTTATATGTAGCATGTGTGGGATAACTTAATTTGCTACTTATGTTGTTTAATATTTATCTAAGTCATTACACAGTTCTAGGTAGCAGTGGGCATATTGGTTTGGTTTAACCAACCATACCAAACTGAACTAAATTGAATTGAAACCGGACCATATGAAAATTGGTTTAAGTTTGCTAGTATTTCTTTTAAACCATATTAAACCGAATCGAACCAAAACCAATAAAAATCAAACAAAACCGAATCGAACTAAATAAATTCAATAAATCCTGCATATATTATTAAAAAAAATAACAAAACAAAACCTAT